AAAGCCAGAAAAGAAAGCAGAGGAAGTGAAATGGGCCATTTCATGCAATCCTGGACATTGACAGACTGTGGAAAGTGCTTTTCTGCAAGTTTTTAGAAGTTTAACAGAGATGGCTACACAGACCTGTAACATTTCATTTATGCTCTGTACTTATTCAATCCTTCTGGGTGTGTGTGCATTTCAATATAGACTCAAACCCTTAAAATCTGCCTCACCTCGGATGCTGGTGAAGTGATGAGGTTAAAATATGTTATACAGTACACAGGGTCTGTCTTCCTGGTGCAACCATTAGGAACATACCGTACTCAAGGACACAGTGAAGGGCCGTTCACACTGACAGCGATTTGCACTGACAATGCAACCGTAAGTCATTCATTTTCAATGAGAGTTGGAGATTTATGTGACAAGAGTGACAGATCATTGGCGATTTAAGAAAGTTGGGCAGAGTTCAGCTTCGTACAAATCTGCAGTGATGTGATGTAGCGACTGTCAGTGGTAGTTCAGACAGTGAAGCTCACGTGATCTGCAATTTGAATTCATACTATTTAAAGGGAAATTCTGAAAATTCTGTCATCATTAATTACTGTCATGTTGTTTCAAACCTTCCAAGTTTCCAAAAGTTTATTTGAAAAGTGTAATTTTTTCCCTATGTAATGAAAGTCAATGATGTCTAATGCTGTTTTGGACCCCACTGACATTCATTGTATGGACAAACACAGTTGAAACATTCTTCAAAATATCTTCTTTATTGTTATGCAGAATAATGAAAGTCAGACAGGTTTGGAACAGCATGACAGTGAGTAAATGATGACAGAATTTTCATTTTTGGATGAACTATCCCTTCAAAACACTACACAAACACATACAAAACTCTATCCAAACAAAGCATCTCTATAAAGTCTGTGATTCACTTTATGATGGGTTATTCTCTTTCCTCTGGCTGGCCTAGTTTCTCTTATCTCTTACGAAATAGATTGTGTGGTCAGGGATCAGATAAAGTAGAAGAGAGATCTTTTTCTCTCTTTGTGGTGGGACAGTAAGATGAATGTGTGCAGGGCCCCTCAGGGTAGGCATTAGAATAACCTCTTCGGTCTTGTGAGACAGTGTGTTCTCGTTGCATAAATTTCCTGTATAATCATCACTTACTATTGTAGTGATGTGCATAATGGAGTTAAGGGATAATGATAGGTTTTACAGGCTGTAGAGAGAAGTTGTCTTGGAATTTGTGCCCTTCAGTGTGAGATTGTCACATTAGTAAAACGTTTACTGTGCCACATTATATGTGTTTGAAGACTGGAGTCAGGTTTTGCTTAAATTAGGTCCTCAGTAATAGGGCCAAGCAGTGACCACACCCTTTTTTAGAAGCATTTGGAGTGTTTTTCCCATTTCCATATGGATTTCATCTTTAAAAAGAGTTGTAAACCATAAACTGAACTGACTCTGAGATGAATCACAATATTACAGATTTTGATTTGAAACAAAAACTATATATAGATCTAACAGCTGGATTTGCCAGTTTGCGAAGTTTGTTGCATTAAATGTTTAGTAGATATTCAGAGACTTGTTTAAAAGTGTGTGTTTGCTGAATGCATAAAGTATTATGGCTTTCAATTATTAGACAAAACTGTTAAAACAAAGACATTGAACTAATAGAGACATAGATTGCAAGTTCCTGTGTGTCCGAGCTCAGGTGTTGGGTTCTTATAATAATCGGCCAATGCTGATAATTAAAAAATGCCAAATATTGGCTGATATATCAGCCTTAACAACAGATTACCCCATGTTGGTTGATCGCTAATATTTTTATTTTTTACTTTTTAAATGTAAAAATAATACTTTTTAAGTTGTAAAATAGTTGAATGTGGAGCCACCTTGATGTCATTCAATAGTACTTATGAATAACTCTTTTATCCTGGTATGTTTGCTGCATTACTGTGATTGGTGGCACTTTCCCTTGAGGATTCATGTGTAGTGTAGTTTTTCAAATGGAATTTCCACTGTAGCTATAGGAATGGTATTTTTCATAAATAAAGTAGATTTTTCTATAAATAACTTAAAATATTTAACATAAATAACCATTGTTTCAGTTTTAACTTTTATTTATTTATAAATGTATTCCCATCAGGAAAACAGCTTAATGACAGTATAAAAATGCAAAAAGGTTTGTCAGTGTTTAGGTTTTAGGGGACAGAAAATATCATTAGCTCTGTACAAAATCAGGTCAATCCAAAATGATGGAAAAACAAGTGTGTATATACAGGATCTTGTCTTTTGCCTTTGGATAGAGACGTTGAGCGGTGAGGCAGTAAATCGTTTGATTAGTTGATTCACCAAGGGAATCCTGGTATATATTTGCTGCGGTCTTAACACACACACACACACACACACACACACTCACACTCATACTCTCATACAATGATTCTTTCTTTGTCTGCATCCCCAGGCCATTATATCTAAATTTCTTTGTTTATTTTACCTTATGCTCTGTTTACCTAGTTCTGTTTCCTTTATTTTTGATACTCTTTCACAGCTGAAAAGCAAAAATTAAATCTTTGAAATGCTTGTTTATGCACTGTACCTTAGGAAGGAACCAGTTTAACTATTTTTGTATAATATTTGCCCTAGCTATGAGTATACTTGCATCAAACATGTTTGACATGTTGCCATTGGACCTCACATTATAAAAGAAATTAATGCAGTCAGTATGTTTTCATGCCTTTTAGCATGAGTCTCAGTGTTTTGTGTTACTCTGCTGTTTTGAACACACCCTGCATGCTGCATGTACTCCAGTGCCCCACCGGCTCAGCTCCCTTTCCCTGGGAAACTCATGTACTCAAAGTACTCAAAGTAATCATGTTTTTGTGCCGAAGGCTAAACGCCTGAGAAATGCGGGGGCTCCTGTGATCGACGACTGTCAATGGTAGCGTGAAGGGAGAGACTGACTGAGACAGGAGAGGATGGTGGAGAATGGAAACAAAGGATCAGTATTGCGTGTACATTTGCTTGGAATGAACGTAAGCAATGGCAGGCATGAAAAAATCAGACTGTTAAGGGATGATGGGAACAGATAAAGAAAATGCGCTCTTTGAGCCTGGATCAATCGTGAAGTTGTGGGATTAAGGCTGATCTGCCTTCTAAATGTTATCTGGAGCTCAGGCATGGACTTGAACCCGTCTTTAAGAGAGAATAATGCCTCTGTGTCTCTTCCAGCGCAGAGAGAGTGAAGACAGAGCCAGAAGTCTTACCAAGCAGACATGGAGCCTCTGCTGAAACCAAGAACTGTTTGTACAGAATACTTGATTCATCCAACAGTATGTTTCTGGAAAACTGTCAGCTGTGCCCAAGGCCAATCCATCTTTTTCACTCAGTACTGTGTTGATCAGGGATCAGAATGTTCCATTTTTTTCTGCTTAGCATTTATAATTCATCCTATTAATTAAGCATCATAATGAATTAAAACATTTCCATAGGATTCCCTACAGGTTGTGTTCTCCACCACAATAGCACTGCCATCTGTCTGTCTGTCTATCTATCTATCTGTTTGTCTGTCTGTCATGACGCCACTGTTCTTCACATGGTTTCCTTTGAGAATGTGGTTTCTGTCATATTGGGGGTGCAGATATGGCATGATGCTCTGGAGGTCTTAGCCTTCAGAGCTCACAGGTTTAATTAGGGAAATAATCTTTTTGTTTGTTTGTTTGTTTATTTTTGCCTTTTTCAGTTCACACACAAGTGTTCAACAAGGACACACACATTATCCTGGCAGTGTAAAGGAGGGCAGGCATAAGAGATATGAAGCAGGTATACTGTTTTTTCCCTTGCTGACAAGGACAACACGGGCTTTTATATTTTGGACTCATCCACAAGACTGCCATTTGTCAAATAAATGCACAGTCCTATTGCAAAAATCTTAAGTCTTAATTAGTATTTTTGTCTTGTTTTCCAATAACAATATGTAAATTTCCTCAAAACAAGACTATTTACATAAACCATAATTTGCATATGATATTAAGCCTTGACTTATCAACATTGAAGTTTATTCTTAACTCCACTGACAAATTATGTTTCAAGGATGTTTAGATATTTCCAGTTGAAAACAAAATGAAAATACCCATTAAGAAAATGATTCTTTGCAGTGTAATTGTGCATTTCTGTGTTTGATTTCTGCTGACTCTCTTTGATTTCATTAAATGTGATTATTTTGACGCTTCAAACCTTCAGTAACACTAAAGTTTCCTGTCTTTTGTGGATTTTATATATAACAGCTGTCTGCCTGTGGTTTTGCTGTGTGCTCGGCAGATTCAAGGGCCTCTAACTGTCTGAAATTGAGAAATGTGCCAAAATGAAGACTGCACCTGTCTCAGGGTCTCTCATGGCTGCTACCTGATGTTGTTACAGAAAAAATTAGTAGAAAAACAGCTTTTACCTGCTTCGGTAGAATACAGCACCCTTAAAACACACAAGTTTCTCTAAAATACAGTAAAGTGCCTCTTTAGGGCTCTGGGTCTAAATACAGCTTACCTTGAGTTAGTGTGGAGAAGTGAATGTAGAAATTTCTCCCTGTGAGCACACACTTCATAGAAAATCAATTTCATAGGTTAGGACAACATTACCGCAGGGTCCAAAAGGTTTTTTTTTAAACTTAATAGCACGAGTGAATTCACTCAGTGGGGAGGAAAAAGATGCTTAGACATGCCATAGTCTGTATTTTTATTATGAACGTTTTTTTGTTTTGCAGTCTGCAGAGATATTTTTTAGTGTTAACACAGCTTTATACGCTTCTAGTTTTGTTGCCATCTGCAATTTTAGCCTCAATATGACTCTTTATGCAAGACATGATGTCTCTGCCTAATTATAGATAGGAGTCCTTCCCAAAACACAACATAAACATCTGTTTCTCTTCTTCTTGTCTCTCTGCCTATTTCTCCCTCTTTTTTTCTCCTTCCATCATTCTTCCAGTACTTAGTTTTGTTTATTGTTACTTCCTCTCTGTTTCCTAGGAGCTGATGTTTATCCCACGGATCTACTGGACAGCACATACACGTGACAACATCATCTCCCACAAATCCCAGGAGACTCTTCCTTCTATGTGGATTAAAGTCTATATCAGGGAAACTAGAGCTTAAACGACTGGGATTTTTCCCATGTTCTGTAGGAAATGAGACTTTGGCATCTGTCTTTTCTCTCTACATGGACGAAAAGCCAAGGAAAGTGTACTAAAAGCTGACCGACAGGATTAAGTTAACTTACAAAACTTACAAAAAACCCAAAGAAGAGCCTGATGGTGTCATATGATATGACTAATTGTACTCAGTCAGAGCGCCCAGCTGCAGCACTTTGACTCCTGATGAAACTGATGTTTTTCTGCATAATTCGTAGTCAGTTTGGAGCCGTTAGCCCTGCCGCACTGTGTGTCATAGCATGTGGCTTGGGCTCAACATCCACAGCATCTTAATTACACAGCCGAACCGATTTAGACCACGGAGGAAACATCACTACATCTGGAGATATGCTGCCATGTAGAGGGATGCACAAAGCTGGAGACATCTGATCTGCTTTCCTCACATTTTTGGTTCTCTTTACCTATGCGATTACCCAAAAGAAGCCCAAGAGATCCCGCTCTCTCTCACTCATGCACCTAGTAAGTTTTTGAGTATAACGTCTGTAACCTTTCTAGTGCTTCTCTTTCTCTCCACCACTGATGTCCCATTCACACATCCCGCTATAATGAAGCCTTTAATTAATGATGCACAGGTTCAAATTAGCCTGGTTCAGTGACTATCCAGGGCCGTTGGTCCCTGCAGACACAGTGACCTTTGGAGAGGGCCAGACTACTGCTCTGTGGCCAAGCACCTTCACACACACACACACACACACGCACATACATACACATGCACGTACGTCTACCCTTGAGCCCTTGGCAGTAAATAGTGAATGGTAAATGTCAGCGCTCTGGCCATTGAATTAAACAGTTTATTTGAATAAGTGTTAGAGCACCACAATCTCCACCAACAGCTTGCCTCTGTCCACACATCAGCCTTCAGCAAGCTGGGAATTTTCTCTTTGATTAGCTGGATTATATTGTCTTTTATCTTGCGCTTGCTCTTGTTACTGTCTCTCTTTTCCTGTTCCTTGCAGCGGCAGCCATGAGGGTTGCACCAACACATTTGGCTGGACTACAGAGCAGCGTTCCACGTGGATAAATTAGTTTATTTCGTGTCGGGGTTACACATTCTTGCCATATTTTTTTTACAACTGCACGGCTCGTGGAAGACGACAAGAAAGACTTAAAAGGGCCTGATGCACCTTTTAAAGGCAGCAACAAAAATGAGTAAATTATCAAGAGGGAGTGAGGGCTAGTTCTTCACAGACAGCGCTGAAGGAAACGCTCAACTCCCTCCACCTGCCGGCTCCGAGCGAACGAGAGCTAGAACTGAGGTCTCTGGCAGACTGGCAGTTGCATCCTCTCCTGCTCTCTAGCCTGGTGGTTTGTTGATGCATATGACTTGATTTTCACGTTCCTCAGCCCTCCCCCTCTGTGCCCGTATAATGCTCTGTTGCCGGCGTGCCGTCCTGGAGCCATGCCCATCCCCGAGATGGCTTTGAGCCCGGTGAAGTCTCTGTACTGGGAGGTGTTCCCCTCCATGGCCACGCAGCGGGTGTACTGCACGCCCGTGCTCTGGGCCGGGCGCCTCTACGTGCTGGGGGGCTGCAGTGAGAACGGCCTTCCTCTGGACTCTGTTGAGGTGCTGGATCTGGAGAGCCAGCGCTGGTGCGAGCTGCCCCCTCTCCTCACCGCTCGGGCTGGGGCATCCGCCGTGGCCGTCGGAGACCAGCTGATGGTCATGGGAGGCATGGACGCGCAGCAGAGCCCGCTGGCCTCAGTGGAAGTATATCACCCTGATGAGGGCAAGTGGGAGAGGAAGACGGGACTGGGGCAGCCCTCTATGGGCATCACCATGCTGGAGAACGGTAAGAACAGTGTTTCCTCCTCATTTTGACTAATTCTTTGTTGAAAAGACTGTGCTGGTCAAGCTTTTTTCCTTACTACACTGCAAAAAAGTTTTTCCACTTAAAGAAAGTCTAAAAACTTGAAGCTAAATTGTGTAAGAAATTAAAAGACATGTTTTCAGGGAATATGCTCTGAAATATGCTTATTTTTCTTAACTTATTGTCAATTTAGGCATGAACCTCACTAAATATTGTTTGTTTATGCCTAATTTGACAATGGGGTAAGAAAAATAAACTTAATTAATTGATTATTCTTTGAAAATGAGTCTTATTTCTTGCCATTTTGCTTCTGGGGTTAATGAAAAATAAGAGTGTCCATGAAAAAATAAAAGTGTTTGTTAGTTTCTACACCATTTCCAAAGTTTAATGACCAGTAAAACGCCATGCTTTTCTTATACCATGAATGCATGTGATTTTTACAGTTGATTTACAGTTACCAGAATTTTTCAATTCAAAAACATCATTACGTTTTGTTGGAGTCGCACCACAATCTGAACTAACCTGCCTCAAAATGTAAAATATCTATTTTTAAAAAATTTCTAATTGACCTTGACACACAGTCATGAGGGTCTTCAGGGGACCTCTCAGTGATGTCATTTCCTGTTTTATCATTTCTGAATGTTAGTTACACCATTTGATAATTTGACAGACAAATGTTTTTTGAATATTAATACTAAAGCCGTTTTAATTTTTTCCCAGTGGAAAAATTAAAATAAAAGAATATTATAAAATACTTTTCAAGAATTTCATTCTTTTAATAATGGTTTCGGGACAGTTATATTTCCCTGACATTTTTAACTTTATGCCCCCCAAAATGAATTTTTATATGGAAATTAAAAACATGCTGACCATAGAAAATTTATTCACATAATTGTATGCTTGAATTGTGTTTTTAATAAATTAATAGAATGTGAAAAATATTAGCATACCATATCATTGATCTAATTTTCAAGAAGGTTTAGATGTTTTACAGTAAAACAAGACAATCAAAACAAAGACAAATCACATCTTGTCACTACAAGTGTATGAATTTCTACCGTTGTCAGACTACACTGTCATTATTTGGTTCTCAAACCTCAGAAAGCAGCAGTGCGTAGAAAGACATCAGACTGTAATTGGGGAAAACAAAGTTTGGTTCTTCTCTCGTCTATCAGAGCACGATTAGTCATATAATCTTGGCTGCTGTTATCTTTGCTACAATCACTGTGGTTGTAATGAATGTCTCTCGTAGCCGGCACCTCTAGAGTGCTCCGGATATACCAGCTCCAAATCAAGGCATCAGTCATGCCATACTGTGACAAAGAATTACACTGCAGAGAAAAGTCTCTCTCACATACTCTCCCTCCTCTTTAGCTTGTGTAGGTGTGTGTTCAGGTGACAGTTTATCCAGTTTGAGACCCTGAGGAAGAGTGTTTATTCACAGGGATTCGCTTCTGCTAAGCCGTATTCCACCAGTTGAGCCGCATTCAGGCCTGGACTGATCAGTTCCGTGGATCCGTTTTAAAACTATCAGCAGGCCGGCTAATACAAGACCTGTATTTGTATTCATGTGCAAGAGAGCGCTCATAAGCCTGTGGTTCTTCAATGAATACTTTGGTCACGTCCACAGAATTATAAATGATCTGTCTGCTCATTTACCTTGAGCAGCAGATCGTTTGAAATTAGCATGTGAGTTGTGGTCTAGGCGTTTGTCATAAAATAATAATATTGAGGATGTGAGGGACACATCTTAAGGTCTACTTTTAGGTCTACTTATAAGGTTAGTCAAGGTTTCCTGCACTAGACTAGTAGACAAAGCACTAGAGGGTTTATTTTTGCATGGGCATTTTCCAATCTTGATATTTGATATTTTTTACTCCCACAATCTGGCCTTTTTACAAAATTAAGAATAATAATAGTAATAATAATAATAATAATGAATAATCAATTATTATTAATATTATTGTTAATTATTAATAGGCATCACATAATAATAATAATTCAAATAAAGATGATAATTTACTTGCTCTTGTGTCGTTCCAAACCTATAAGACTATTTCTTCCGTGGAACAGGAAAATAAAACCAATTCCATTCAATAAAAAAAAAAAGAGACCTGGAGCTTTAAAAGGGCAGAAAAGCACCTTAAAAGTATCATTTACATGAGTAAATAATGACAGGTGTTAACTTTTGGGTGAACTACTCCTTTAAAGCAGTCTTTTGCTACTGTACCTTTAAGACCTCTATATAAATGACCACTGTTCTGATTAACTAACCTCTTTGCATGTAAAAAGAGTAACACCGTTTAGACGTGGTAGGTGCTGTCAGGTCCAATTGATATGAATTTGTAGCCACTTTTATGTGTGAAAAACATGAGCGCACTGGGGAATGAGCTGCAGGATTGTGTATCGTGTGTTTATCCATGTGCATTCGTGTGTTAATAATTATGCCTCTGTTGTTCAGTCTCCATAAAGTTAGAGTCTCTTGTGTTCCCTTTCAGGGTGCAAAAATCATACAAGAATAAAAGTACCAGCATGATCCATGCCTTGCCTTATTAAAACAAGCGCATGCTAATTGCCATATGCCACCACAATGTGGCATGATAATTAAACTTGAAAGATGTTATTATACAGCTTTCTGGAGTAGTGTTTCTTATTGGTCAAATATTTTTGTATAATGAATGTATAACCTCATACACTGGGCTATACTTTCAGGTCTCTCGTATCACTTCAACATTTTTTTTAACATAATAAAATAATTTCTGATAATTCAAGTGCATTCATTTATTTACTTGGCAAGTGTAGCAAATTAGCTCAAAAGGGAAATGTATATAAATATTTACAATTAATTATAATTAATTACAATTATTTATATCAGCTGCCAATAGTAACTGTAGCAGAATTAATAATACAATCAACTAATCTGTTCATCCAGCAGACTTTCAGTGTAATTTTATATCAACTCTAAGGCTACGTCCACACGAAGCCAGTGCTTTCCCTATCCAATCTTTTTTTCCCCTCGTCTCAAGAAATATCTGCGTCCACACAAAACCACAAAACCGCCTATACGATACAAAATTTATGCGTATAATGCTAATTGCGTCTCCGTCTTGACGGGGCCTAAGAAATTATATTTTCGTGGCCACAGAAAATATTTTCTTACAGTACTAGTGCATTATGCTGCGTACAAGTCCTCCTGGGACGTTCGTACTTACGAGTTGACAAGTCGTAATTATGACGTCAGGTGCGTTCAAGTCAGTTTAGTCGGCACAAGATGGCGGTGTACCTTCTTTTAAAGGGGTCATATGATGCGATTTCAAGTTTTCCTTTCTCTTTGGAGTGTTACAAGCTGATTGTGCATAGATAAGATCCCTGAAGTTGCAAAGACTAAAGTCTCAAAACCAAAGAGATATTCTTTATCAAAGTTAAGACTCTGCCACGCCCCCCTAAAACGGCTCATTCTAACACGCCCCCACATATCTACATCACCATGTGGAAATATTTGCATAATGCGCCCAAATGATCACGCAAAGAAAGAAGGCGTGGTTTCAAGTAACCGCAGTTAGTGTTGAAGCAGCATATCAGGGAGACGCTGTGTGTTTCTAGACGAAAGCAAAAGCACTTTATTTGGCCTTCCAGAAGTAGATGCAATTAGGAATCATTGGTTAAGATTTATTTACAACAGAACAGCACAACCCAGATGTTCGAATTTGTGCAACGCATTTTATGGACGACAGTTTTTTTGAACCTAGAAGAGTACAAGGCTGGCTGTG